GTAATTTTCCATCTTTTGCCTTACTCCCTTTTTAAATAGGGGTGTCACATTAGTGATTTTCCAGTCCTCTGGGACCCTCCCTGACTCTAGCGATTCCTGAAAGATCACCACTAACGCTTCCACTATCTCTTCAGCTATCTCCTTTAGAACTCTGGGGTGTAGTCCATCTGGTCCAGGTTATTTATCCACCTTCAGGCCAATCAGATTTACTAGCACCTTTTCCTTGGTGATGGCCACCATACTCAGCTCTCCCCCCTGACTCTCTTGAATTTTTGGGAGATTACTCGTGTCTTCCACCATGAAGACTGACACGAAGTAATTAGTCAGTTCCTCAGCCATTTCCTTGTTCCCCACTACTATCTCTCCACCGTCATTTTCCAGTGGTCTAATGTCCTCTTTTGCCCTTTACATATCTAAAGACTACTAAGTGTGGATTGTGTGACGAGACTATACCCTTCAAGGAAGAGGTGTTCAGTGCTATTTCTCTTTCAAAGGGATATTGCCAAAGTGGAGCCTGAATGTCACCTTCAGACAGGCAGTTGGTAAAGAATTTTTGAATCGTCTCTGGATTTTGAATGAAACAGAATCATAAATGGGCAGGGTCAGGGCTCAAGTAGACTCAGGAAGACTTTTAGTTTTGCTTTCAGTCAGTGAGAAGGTCTCCTGCTGACTGCTGAGCTAAAAGCTCGAATCCCTAGCTGCTAGTCTTAGCTGAAGTCTTAGACAGTGAGGCTTTCTCTTAAAAATCAAAAGGGGCAAATTACTTCTGGACTAGAGACAGACAGTACGTGAGAACCAAAATTGTATTCTGAATTGCATATTTGCCAAAGGGTCTGTTCGTGGGATGCTGCTTACATTGGAACAGTAGATGATGTGGTTAAGTAATACATTATCTTGTAAAGTACTTCAGTAGAGTTAAAGTTATGTCCATTCCTTTTCTTTTGTATTTTAACTGTGTTGTAAGAATAAAGAGTGTTTTGGTTAAAGCATTAAAGTAGACCAATTGAATCACAGCATCTTACGCTTGTCTTTACTTTAGAGTTTAGGCTATGTCCTTTCAAAACTTTGGAGGGAGGCAGGGTTCTGGTCTGGTGCATAACAAGTAGACTGGCTAAAATACTACCTAGACTCTATTAAGCATAAAAGATCAGGAAAAAATTAAGGAATTTGAGACTGCCACCAGTTTCAGATTTAGGGATTTTAACATACCAAAATAATAGAAAAGGGTGTTTCTCCCTGAAAGAAAGCTGAAATAATCATTTTATTAGCATGGATATAGTGTCCAGTGAAATACCTTTTACGATAAAGTAGTCATCGAAGAAGAAATCACAGATGTAACTGGATATAGAAAACTACAAAGCTATTGTATTTGGAAAATCTGTGAACTTGCAACTTACACAAACAGGACACTAAGTTCATTTAAATGAAACATAACCTCTCCACTAAATTGAAGAAGGGTTATTGACATCAGGAGCAGAAATTTAGAAGACAAAAGCTGTGTTAAAATTACACAGGAAATTTACTCATCTGTCTTCTAAAAAATTAGAACTTGATAAAGGCTGCAGGAAAAAGAAATGGGGTGTACGACAAGTGTAAGAAATATGATAGGCTCTTCTGAATATGTTCAGTAACTGGCCTCCACAGTTTTAAACAAAAACAAACTTAAGGTCTTTTCTGAAGAAGAGTCTCAACCTGAAGCATCAACTTTCCTGCTCCAATGCTGCAGCCTGGCCTGCTGTGTTCCTCCAGCTCCATACTGTGCTATCTCTGACTCCAGCATCTGCAGTTCTTGCTATCTCTTAAGGTCTACCAAGTCAGGTTTCACTCTGGGATCGGATTTTTTCGATATTAACATCAAGTTAGACTATAACATTAAGCATTCATAATCTTTTAAGAGAAGACTACAGTGTGTGACAATGCTTTCTAATTTCACTTCTTACAGTTTAGTTCCAACTTTTAAGATTAAGCCAACTTATTGAAAATTTTCATCCTTACTTTCAAATCCTTCCATGTTCTCGCTCTTCCCCTTTTTTGTGGTCTTCTTCAACCCAACAATCCTCCGAGATATCTGCACTCCTCTATTTCTCACCACTTGTGCATTCCAAATACTACCACTAACAGACATGCCTTCAGTTGCCTAGGTTCCAAGCTCTGGAATTCTCTCCCTACACTCTTCTATCTCTCCAACTCACTTCTTGAAGCCTACCTCCTGGACCAAGCTTTTGATCATCTGGCACAATATCCCTTTTATGTGGCTTGGCTTCAAACTTCATTTTACAATGCTCCCATGAAATGCCATGAGATGTTTTGTTACATTATAGAAGTTGCTTTCTTCTGGATTACCCCACTGGAAGGAAGAGATTCTGTTTTCACCTAATGAATCCTTTAAATTTTATTTGAGGAGAATTAAATCACTGCTCAAATATATGCAACCTGGCTTCATAATTTAACTCTCTAAACTAGTTTTCATTCTGCTGAATCTGCACTACACTTCACCTAAACCACTGTTCACCCCTCCCAAGGGGTGGCTTCCCCAGGCACTAAAAGCGGTACTCTAGGTGGAATTTGACCAAGGTTCTGACCACAAAGGACCAATGTTTATTCCTTCCTATTTCCGCCATCTCAAAGATGAATATTCAGTTTGATCTGCTGATAAATTTTACAACCATAAGGAACAAGAACTGGAGTAGGAATTTGGCCCCTCAAACCTTCTCTGCCATTCAATCAGATCATAACTAATCCAACATGCCTCACCTCCCTGCCCTTGATTCCGTTTCTGATCAAGAATCTATCCCAACCTTAAATACACGCAAGGACTTGGTCCCCACAGCTCTGTGGCAAGAAGTTCCAAAGACACACAAACCTCAGAAGAAATTCCTCATCACCTTAGTCATAAATTGGTGCCCCTTTATTCTGGGACTATGCCCTCTGATCCTAAACTCTCCCATGAGGGGAAATATCCTCTCAGTATTTACCCTGTCAAGCACCTTAAGAACATGCGTCAATGAGATTATCTCTCATTCTTCTAAATTTTAATAGTTATTTATGAGTTTTTAGTGATTTGTGCCGATCAACACTTCTATTACTTTGGTCCTTTTCTTACCTCCATGTGTCTCACTATTTAGGAAAATACTCTTACCTTTATCTTAGGTCTAAACAAGATAATCTAACATTTTTCAACACAGAGTTCTAACAGGCAGAGTTTTAGTTTCACTTGCTTAATGTGTCTAACGTTCCCCCCCTCAACAACATATTCTGTGAAGAATCTTACAATTATTTTTACTGTTTAGAACCTGAGCAATGTACAAGATTTCCCCTTTTCACTCACACTTCACATCTCAGAATATGATCACCTACTGGAAACAATTCTGAAGAATAGAATTAATTTGTGTTTGGAGAGGCAGGTAATCAAAAACATGTCAGCATGGTTTTTTTTGAAAGGGGACATCATGTCTGATCAACTTTTTATGTAGTCTACTTGGACTTCAGTTCGGCTTTCAGTAGGGTCTCACGTAAGAAACCAATAGTGAAGACAACAGTCCATGGAATCCAAAGAAATTGAATAATTAGATCCAGAATTGGGCGAGTAGCTGGAAGCAGAGAGTGATGGTTGAGGGACATCTGTGTCCAGTGGGGTTCCACAGGAATCAGTGTTGGGGCCCTTGCTGTTTATGGTGTATGTAAATGATATAGATTTGAATGCAAGACAATTCAAGAAGTTTGCTTATGTTATGAAAATTGGCAGGATGGTAAATAGTGAGGATTTCAGACTTGGATTAAAAGGAGAATACAGATGGGCTGATCGGTGGCAAATGGAATTCAAACAGGTTAAATGTGAGGTGATGCACTTGGGCAAGGCAAACAAGGCAAAGGAATACCCGATGAACAGTCGGACCCTGGGAAGCACTGACAATCAGAGTGGCCTTGGTGTGCATATCCAACAGTCCCTTAAAGTATCAGGACAGGTTAATAAAGTGGTTAAGGCAGTGTATAAGATAATTGTCTTTATATGACGTGGCACAGAATTTAAGAGCATGGAGGTGATGCTGGAACTGTATAAAACATTAGTTAGGTCACAGCTAGAGTACTGTGCAGATTATAGGAAGGATGTGATTGCACCAAATAGGGTACAAAGGAGATTTATCAAGATGTTGCCTGGGCTGGACAGTTTCAGTTATGAAGAAAGGCTGGACAGACTGGGGTTGTTTTCCTTACAGCAGAGGAGAATGAGGGGAGACATGACTGAGGTGTGTAAAATTACGATGGGGACAGACAAGGTAGACAGGAATGTACATTTTCCCTTGTTGGAGGGATCAATAACAGGGGCAGAGATTTAAGGCAAGAAGCAGAAGGTTGAGAGATAATAGGAAGAAAAATGTTTTCACCAACAGGGTGGTGGGAATGTGGAACTCCTCTGTAAGGATGGTAGAGGCAGAAACCCTCATAATATTAAAGTGGTATTTAAATGTATATCTGCGATGCAAAGTGAAACAAGGCCATGGGCCAAGTGTTGGAAAATGGGATCAGAATAGTTAGGTGGTTGCTTTTGACCAGTGCAGACTCGATGGGTCAAAAGGCCCTTTTTCTGATTTTCTGATCTTTCAATACTGCAAAATTCAAGTTTAAGCTGCAGCACTAAAATAACTTTTTTTACTTGCCTAAAGTTTACAACTATTTCTCTGTTCTTTTTACCACATTAAATATTTGTTTAAAAAAACAACATACTTGCATTTATAAAGTACATTTCAAGGTGTCCCAAAGCTTTAATTTACTTATGAGTTTCAAGAGAATAGGCAAAAGATTGAGGAATGACTGTTACACAGAAATTGATTTCACTTACGTTCAGCAATCGGCAACTTTTAGAAGGATAAGACCAAACCAGGTGAAACAGCGTCACTCCTCAGATCATTTCTTTGCGGAATCATTTACTTATACATATTTTAAAACAGTCCTGTTCGTGTGGCAAATAGAAAATTAGAGATCAGTGTGTTGTTTCTTACCTGATAACCTTCTGTTTTCTTCTGACACCATTTCAGCAGCGCATTCCTCTTGGAGCCACCGTACTCACGAGCCAGTGCTGACAATGGATCTTTCCGCTCTTCCCTATTCAAAATAAATGGAAATTCAAAGTGGCCAGTTGGAGAGTCTGAATATTAACTTAATTACTTACTGAGATTTTAGAAGAGTATAACTGCATTCACATGAACTGAGAAAACCTTCAGTCTACAACGTGTTCCTGAAAATGTGGTTTGTCAATTGTGAAATAAAAGGTGAGCTGCTGGGGAAGGATAAAAAGTCATCATTAGCTGTGGTAGCAGTTCACTGTGATGGATTTGGCACCATATGTCCCAAATTTAAAGCAAATTGAATGAACTTAAGAGTTCCATTTAAGGACTTAATTATATTTCTGCTGAGACAAAATATTAATGTCATTTTCAAAATAGACAGCAAAGCTAAAAAGTTTTAGTAATAACTTTCCCTTACGTCTTGAAACATCAGTCTTTACCAAAATTATTTCCCAATACGCATTCTTGATTAATCAAATAGAACATGCTGTCTTGGAAAAATCATACTGTCTGGGGAAACCAGATGGTTGGTATTATATAGACAGCTATAAATCTGTCTGGTAGGCATGGGGATCATTCCCATTTGGACGGAGTATACTTTCAGAACTTCATAAAACATTCTTAATGATTTAGGACTACAAAAAAGCCAATACATATACATACTCTGAGTGTCCAACACTTCAAATACTAGTTAGCTTTAGGAGTGCAAAGTTGTAAAAAATAAGCAACCTTTGTACACGTGCTGTCAGTTCAACAACAACTATGAAATCGGATCACATGGTGATAGCTGCAGGCATCCATTTACACCTGCCTTATAGCCTCAACTTCCAATAATCTATGAATCTCTGTCTTGAGCATGCTTAACAAGCAAGCATTCACAGTTTTTTTGAATTGGAGCATTCCAACGGTGAACACATTTCTTCTCATCTCAGTCCTAAATGGTTGATCTCTTATTCTCACATTGTGACTCCATGTCCTAGACTCCCCAAACAGGGGTAACAGCCTGCCAGCGTTTATGTGATCACATCCCTGAAGAATTATATTTGTTTCTCTAAGATCATCTTTCCTTCTTTCAAATTCAAATCCAAATCAATATGGGCCTGTTCTACTCAATCTTGCCTCATATCAATATACAAAGTTAGGAGAGGAGGAACCCATTCAGCTTCTCGAGCCTGCTCCACCATTCAAGCGATATCATGGCTGATCAGATTGTAACTTCAACTATATTTTCTTGTCTACTCCATACGCTGCGACTTCCATGACAATCAAGAACATACGTAACTCCATTTAAAAAATATTCAATTAACTGCACTGTCACTACTGTCTGGGAAGAGAATGCTACATCCTAACCACACTGAAGGAAATAAAAAACCTCACGTCTTAAATGAAAGACCCATTTTATTTTACATGTACTCTAGTTCTAGCCTCTCAGCATCTGCTGTTAAGTTCCTTCACTGAGTTGTATGCTCCAATAAAGTTGCCTCTTAATCCTCTGAGCTCTAACTGATAAAGACCATTCCTCAAAAGAATCAGCTGGGTTTCTCTGAATTGTTTCTAAGGTAATGAGAAATTTTCTTGAGTGGGGAAACCAAAACCGCACAGAGTAGTCTAGATTTGATCTCACAATCACCCTGTACATCAGTATTCCATTTCCTTTCCCAATCACTTGCTGTACCTGTGCATACTATTTTTATGAATCGTGTACCAGCACACCCAGATCCCACTGTACTGCAGTGTTTCAATCTTTCTCCACTTAAGTAAAATACTGTTTTAATGTTTTTCCTACTGTAGTGACAAGCATTTATACACCAAACTTTTTTAACCAATGACTTAAACTTTCTAAATCCCTTTGTAAGCTCCTTTAGTCTTCTGCACAGTTTATTTTCTTATTCATCTTCATGTCATCAGTAAAATTAACAATCACACATTCAGTGCCTGGTGCAGTGGTAATGTCCCTATCTCTGGTCCAGAAGGTCTGAGTTCAAGTCTCAACTTCCATGAAAGTATATCCCACTGGAGTAGTACCAGAAGATTGGAGGGTGGCAAATGTCATTCCCTTATTCAAGAAAGGGAATAGGGATAATCCTGGAAATTATAGACCGGTCACAGTCTTACTTCTGTGGTGGGCAAATTATTGGAGAGGATTCTGAGAGATAGTATTTATGATTGTTTTGAAAAGCACAGTTTGATTAGAAATAGTCAGCATGGCTTTGTAATGCCTCACAAGCCTTACTGAATTCTTTGAGGATGTGGCAAAACACATTGATGAAGGTGGAGCAGCGGATGTATGTGGCGTATATGGATTTTAGCAATGCATTTGATAAGGTTCCATATGGTAGGCTCATTCAGAAAGTAAGGAGGCATGAGACTGAGGGAAATTTGGCTGTCTGGATACAAAACTGGCTCTCCAATGGAAGAAAGAAGGTGGTAGTAGATGGAAAGTATTCAGCCTGGAGCTCGGTGGCCAGTGGTGTTCCGCAGGGATCTGTTCTGGGACCTCTGCTTTTTGTGACCTTTATAATTGACTTGGATAAGGAAGTGGAAGGGGGGGTTAGTAAGTTTGCCGATGACACAAAGGTTGGTGGAGTTGTGGACAGCGTGGAGGGCTGTTGTAGGTTGCAAGGGACATTGACAGGATGCACAGCTGGGCAAAGAAGTGGCAGATGGAATTCATTTTGGAAGGTCGAATTTGATTGCAGAATACAGGGCTAATGGCAAGATTCTCAGCAGTGTTGAGGAACAGAGGGATCTTGGGGTCCATGTCCACAGATCCCTCAAAGCTGCTACCCAAGTTGATAGGGTTGTAAAGAAGGCGTATGGTGTGTTGGCTTTCATTGGCAGGGGAATTGAGTTTAAGAGCCGTGGGGTTATGCTGCAGCTCTATAAAACTTTGGTTAGATCACACTTGGAACATTCTGGTCACCTCATTAAAGGAAAGATGTGGAAGCTTTAGAGAGGGTGCAGAGGAGATTTACCAGGATGCTGCCTGGACTGGAGGGCAGGTCTTATGAGGAAAAGTTGAGCGAGCTAGGGATTTTTTCATTGGAGCAAAGAAGGATGAGAGGTGACTTGATAGAGGTGTACAAGACGATGAGAGGCATAGACAGAGTGGATAGTGAGAGACTTTTTCCCATTGCGGAAATGACTATTACGAGGGGGCATAATTTTAAGGTGATTGGAGGAAGGTATAGGGGAGATGTCAGAGGTAGGTTCTTCACACAGTGAGTGGTGGGCGTGTGGAATGCGCTGCCAGCCGTGGCAGTCGAGTCAGATACTTTAGAGACATTTAAGTGACTCTTGGATAGGCACATGGAGGATAGGAAAATGTAGGGTATGCAGGGTAGATTGATCTTAGTAGGATAATAGGTCGGCATAACATCGTGGGCTGAAGGGCGTGTACTGTGCTGTACTGTTCCATGTTCTATCTCAACACGTCGAAATAGGCTGTCTTTTTTTTTTAAACATTTGGTCCTTTCATCCAAATTAATTGATACACATGGTAAAGAGTGGAGCACCAGCACTGATCCCTGTGGCATTCTATTAGTGCCAGCTTGCGGAGCTGTAAATGTACCATTATCGCTATTCTCCGCTTCCTGTTTGCTAACTAACTCTCTATCCATGCTAATATGTTACATTCTATCCCTTGAGCTCTTATTTTGTATAGTAACCTTTGATGTGGCTCCTTATCAAATGCCATTTCGCTTGCTGCTTCCTTAAAGAGATCTAACGAAATAATCAAAACAGTGTTGACTCCACCAGACTGAGATTTTCTAAGTGCACTGCTATAACCTCCGTAATAACAGATTCTAGTACAATACTTTCTTGTGACAAATGTTAAGTTATCTGGTTTGTAGTTTCCAGCTATCTCCAGCCATTCTTGAATAAAGAAGTTACATTCACAGCTTTCAATCTGATGGGACTGCTCCAGAATCTATGGGATTTAAGAAAATTACAATCATTGCATCTACTATGTCAATAGTCACTTTTATTTTTAAAGACTCATTAAGTCCATGAGGTGCTGAGGATTTGCCAGCCTTTAGTTCAAATAGTTTTCTCTGTATCCTTTCCCTGGTTGTTTCATGATCCTCCCTTTTAGGAATGGCAGTATAGTTCCAAAGTCAGGTTGATGAGTGGCTGTTGACTTTGTTCCCGTATAACTGCTGCCCTTGACCCTTTAACTTGGTAGATGTTGGGGATTTCGAAGTTGCTGACTATAGACTGTTGGTGAATTTCTGCAGTGCATCTTGTCGATGGTACGCATTGCTGCTACTGTGCGTAGGTGTGAAGTAAGTGAATTTGAACGTGCTAAATTGTGCGCCAACCAAGTGGGATTGCTTTACACTCAATGGTGTCAAGTTTCAAATGTTGCTTTGCCTGCATGCATGCAGGCAAGTGGGGAGTATTTCATCAGACCCCTTACTTGTACTTTGTAGATTGTGGATAGGCTTTGGGGAGTCTTGGGCTTATTAGTCACTGCAGAATTCCCAGCTTTTGATTTAAAATGTAGCCACAGTATCTTTATGGCTGGACCAGTTCAATTTCTGCGATATGGTAAACCCCAGGATGTTAATAATGTAAAATTCAGCAATGCTAATGCCATTTAACGTCGAGGACAGATGTTCATTCTCTCTTGTTGGAGATGGCTATTGCCAAATACTGAAGTGTGAGATGTGTCATGACAAATCTGAACAGACTTGCTTACAAAATATATACCCTGAAGAACTCCTAGTGATATTGCATAGCTGAGATGATTGATCTCCAACAAGCACAATGAGTCTTCCTTTGGAGCAAACACAAAATAATGCTGGAGAAACTCAGCTGGTCTGGCAGCACAGAACATAGAACAGTACAGCACAGTACAGGCCCTTCAGCCCACGATGTTGTGCTGAACTTTTACCTTAAACCTAAGGTCTATCTAACCTCCACCCCTACTATGGAACACCTATGGAGACAGGAACAGAGTTAACACTTCAAATCCAATAGGACTCTTTATCAGAACCCTTTCCTTTGTACTAGGCACGACTTCAACCAGTGCAG